GAGGGTGGGGGGGGGACGGACGGGGGGGGTCGGGGCTGGGGGGCGGGGGGGGGGGCACACACTGTTCAGGCAATCATTGGCATCGCTGTACATTGAGGGTTTTGCATGCTGTACCAGTTATAATGCCCCTCAAGGCAAATTTTTGATATTGGGCTATTTTAATCAAATTGACTTATATTGTCAAGAGTGACTACAACAAACAAAAAAAGGTGTAACTACTAGTTGTATAGTTGTATCTATTTGCATCAACTATAAGGACCAGGGCAAACAAATACTTAATAATAATAATAATATTACTTTTATACTTTACTTAAAGAAGTATCCAAACCAATTAGGAACCTGGAATCAGTGGTTACAAACCAAAAAGTTGGACAACAATATTTCTTAGCATCTGCAGAAATGTGGACACAACACACAGCCAAACAGCACAGACTTGCAATGTGAGCAATGGAACAAACTTGAAAACTGTGTCTCACTGACTTCAATGTTGTCTCAGCCCCTTTTGATCCTCTGTAGGTGTGTAAACTTGTGTGTTCACATATGAGGGAAAGAAAATATATAACAATATCAAAGCCTCTGTTTATTTATAGCCTGTCCCCACGACCACTTACTTACTTCATTTGCCTACCAAACGATATCACACAAATGACACCGGTCAGGCCCATTTCTCCTTTTCAATTGTGCATCAGACTAATTGTGCATTAGACATTTTGTCTTTATTTAGTTTTAAAAATGGTTGTTGTTCCAATAATCAACAAGGGCCTGTCTCAGGGTCATCACGTTTGACTGAAATGTATAATAGAATATTCAGCTGTGATCATTCACAGTGGATGCATGTATAGTGAGAAGAGCGGCACACAGAGACAACTCCTCTGTACACCCCCACAACATATATCACAGGCTTGTTTAACATGGTCTCTGCAGCTAATGAAGAGTTCCTATGAAATAAGAGAAAAAGCTGCAGACGGACCAGCACAATTTTCAAAACAGTTGGGGGAGAATTATTTGGTTGATAGTGATTGTGGTGTACAAGTATAGTTTCTATTTATTATGGCTTCGGTTATGGATTGTTCAGTTCTAGCGGTGGATACGTTTTTTTAAAAAAGTTAAGTGGAGAAGTGACAAGTTTTAGGCTCAGAGCATGACCATGAAACAGTAGCTAACCTTCACTAATCCACATCTGGGAAGCTGATGCTTCAGGGTGCTGATGTTGCTATGCGCATGCAAACACTTACCTTAAAGAATGAGTCAATAATATGAATCAACCAATTAACAAGGGAGGGGCCTGTAGCTTTCTATGGCCTTTAGATCATCTGCAACTTATGCACTTTCCGCCATCAGCTTTCTCTAAATCTTTCTTTAATGATACCACATGTATCACTTACTTTTTTTTTATGAATAACAAATCAATTGAATCAATACAACTTAATTTCCCCCCTATTTCAAGACATTGGATGATTGGTTACGTGACCCTTCAACACTGGGTCATCGTACTTCAAGCCAATTTGGTATTCATCTCCAGGGTACCTGTGAAACAGTTTTGAAATGTTTCAGCAACAGTGAAGTTCAAGGCCAGAATCCTTTGGGCCAAGAAGTAGCTGTACCTTTTTTAACTAACACATCAAGCAGAGCAGAGGGAGAAAACCATATGCAAATTGACCTGTCATGTTAAAACCCTGGTCTTCCATCAGTATCGATTTTGTCCCTCGTTTCAGCAAAACACTAGGATGTGTTTGCCAAAGTCTCTCGTCAGCCTGTGTGTTCTTCTCTCCTGGTACACATACATGGCTTTTCTTATCCTCTGATTTGATATCACATTTTTTAATTGACAGTGTTTTTGCAGTAGTCATTTTGCATCCCTGCACCCAGGTTTAAATGGCACAAGTAAAATGCAATCTGTTTCAACAAATCTAGCCAAAGTTAAAAAAAACTCCCTATTAGTTATCTTTAGGTGTCAGGGTTAGATTGATCTGTAGCCAGTTGCTCCCCAACAATTCGTTCCAGTGTTTGCCTCTCTGGCTCCCAGTCTTCCAAGAAGGCATAGTTTAGTTCAGGCATTGCCGCAGTCAGGCCCAAAGAGCTGACTGACCCGGTCAAGGACCCCTGGCCTTCAAAGGCATATGTTTGAAGTGAGTCATACGGTGGCCCCCGTGTGTCAGAGTCTGCTTTGGCCTTCTTCTGCTGGATGATCCTCTGAATCATGTCCTGATCATCCAGGAGAAGCGAAGGCTCCGACTGGGTGATCTCTCGAGGAACGCAATCAATCACAAACCATGTAGTTTCTAGCTCTGGACTGTAGTTCCCATAATCCACCTCCTGGGTTTTACTCCTTCTTACCACCGTGATCCCCTCCTCGTCATCCTCAACCTTGTCATCCTCGTTCTCATTCTCTTCTCCGTATGGGCTTGGTCCGTAGCCAAGGTAGGTGTAGAACTTCCTTCGGTCTTCAGATGCTTGAGAATTTCGAAGTGCTGCAATGTCAAAGGCCTCTGTGTCTTCCTCCCCGCCTCCCTCGTCGTCGTAGGTGACCACGTTTTCTCGGATGTCCTCTTCAGAAAGAATCAAGGGCTCCTTGCTTGCTTTCTTATTTCGTAGCTGATTGAATATCATCACTAGGGCTGGAGGTAAAAGGGAAGAAAGAAAGGATTAAGAGGGAAAGAGACGTAAAATCGAAGAGTAAGAGAGACGTTCAAGGAAATTCAAATAACTTTTTCAATGACAAACTAAATGATTGATTTATCAAGTGGATTCAAAATACTCATATTTCATTATACCTAATATAACATGTATTTCCTTCATGGCAACCTTTTTTGGAGATAGTTCAAGACATGTGTCTTAGTATTCATTCTGTGTCGGAGCCAATCAATCAGCTTTCAATGTTTAGTTACTAAAAACTAATGTGGTACTCATTGACAAAGACCGATTGAGAAATCCTTTCAACATAAATAGTTTCACTTATAATATAAATAAAACAAAGGGTATGGGGGGTGGGCTTGGACAAGGCAATACAGTATTTGAAATAATAAAAGGACAAAATCAGATGTATCATATATTGTGATGTAATCAGGTATTTACGGAGGTGTGATGATTCACTTGAGAAAAATAGTTTGCGTCTTTTTTCTGAATTAACCTCAAAATCTTGAGAGAAACAAGCTCCTATTTACTCAGTAGTGGAACGTAAATGACTACATTTACTCAAGTACTGTATTCAATTACAACTTTGAGGTACTTGTACTTAACTGTTAACATTCACCGTTACACTGTTGTTATTTTGTTTGGTTTACATTTTTGCACTATTGTTTAGTTAGTTAATTAAAAAATATTTTTATTGTATATATTGTGGATTCTATATATATCTATATATAATATGTTTTACTCTGTTATTGTTATTGCTTTAGCTTTATCTTTAAATGTGGGATTAATAAAGTAATACATCTATCTTTCTACTGTACATTTTGCAAGCCAATAATGTTACTTGATACTTACGTGATAGTATTTCTATTTTGTGATAATGGGTAACCCTGATATTTAAAAAAATTATACATTGATATGTTAATAATACACGTGATTATATCGTGAAAAAGTCAAGCACCTCTTAAGTCATGCTTTTGTACAGTTTTGGGGAAATTCAAGGCAAAGATAGACAAAATGTCACACACATACTCACATAGTAATATGACAATACAAAGTAATATGGCCACAAAAGCCCCAGTGCCGAGACCAGCTGAGGACAGGAAGGCCTGGGCCAGACAGACGTTGCTGTTGCGCCCCCTGCTGTTCCTCTGACACACACACACCCTGAGAGAGAGTGTAGCAGTGCTGCTGAGAGGAGGCTCCCCACCATCAGCCACCACCAGCACCAGGCTGAAGAACTCCTGGTCTCTGTCCTGGCTGAAGCCCTCCTGCCGATGAGATATTATGCTGGCAGTGTTGTCTGCGAACAGTGAGGACAGGGTGGAGGACGGGAACAGAGAAATGTAAAACAGTGTTGAAGGTGAAGAAGACAACAAAAAAGCACTTTAAGACAGAGGACCTGCATCCGGTACCGTTACCTGGACCTCAATATCAGAACTCATCTACTATCGGTGTGATGTCAATTTAGCCTGTGGGGGCAACAGCAGATTTGTAGCCAGCAGATATCCGGATAGCAAATATCTGGGCCAAGACTTCCTCTCATTGTCATTCCTCTTCCCTGTCATAGGTTACAGTCCAAATAGCAACTTGAGGCAAGAGACTGAAGTTGGAGTTGAGAGACGACATCTACGACTGATGGGTTCTGAGATTGCATTTCAGCCTCTATGCTCTCCACACAGGCCCACGTGTAACCAATGCCCGCTCAGACGTGAATGGTCAAAACTTCTCAGAATACAAACGAAATCCAAAATACTTCCAATTCCAAAATCCTTGGTTTATAACCTTTTAACCTGTTCATTTAGATTACCTGAGCCCTGTATCTGCCTGACTGCACACTCAGTACTACTTCTGTTTGGACATTCATTGGTCATACTGAGTCATTATACAATTAATACAACAAAAGGGTTGAAGAACATAAAAGAAGAGCTGAGGGAAAATGGGAATTGGGGGTAATTCTCTGTAAAATGACACACCGTCTATTGATCTATTGCTAAACTTCAGGAACAATGTGTGCAGCATTAATACTTCTGAAACACAGCATGTTGTGACAAGCATAGCTTGTCTTCGCTTGTTCCGACAGCAGTCATCTCTGCTGCTTGGAGACTCAAGGCCATTCACTTGTGTCCTGGGTTACCTGACCAAGCGGATAGTGGACTCTGCAGGAACCTGGCCCCTGTATCCATTCAGAGGGATGATGTCAATGTGGTTCAATGCTGTAAACATCTGAGTGAACCTGGACAGCGAGAGTGGGCTGGAAACACGGGCCCTGTTCAAGAAGAGCCAGCACTACTTGCTGCTGAGGCTCTGGAACTTCAATGTCTGTAAGAAGATGCTGATTCTCCCAGTCGTTGGTCACCAGTGCTATCTTTTATGCTGCTATGCTTTGGGGATGGAGCGTGATTGGAGGAGTTGAGCTAGACTCTCTGGAAGCAGAGATGGAGAAGAGGATGCTGTCCATGTTGGTCAGCATCCTAAACAACGTCCCCCACCTCCTCCACAACATGCTGGTAAAGAAGAGGAGCGTCTTCAGCCAATGACTTATTACCCCAAAGTGTTCCAGCGAGCGGCAAAGGAGCTCATTCCTGCTGGTGGTCACCAAACTATTTAACTCACCCCCCCCTTTTTGCACTGTAGACATGAGTGGACATGGAGGCAGTAGAGGCCTGGACTTGCTAAATAGACTTTCTAATTACAATTTGTTATCAAATGAATCCTATATTATAACTATTTAACCCATAACTAATACATCCATTAATTTTGCACACCTTATGTGCACATAATGTGCACATGGTGTGCAAGCATGTGCACATAAGCCCATGCTTCAAATAATACCTTCTTCTTGCTCTCTTCTTTTTACCGTGTGGTTCGTTTGAGTACTGCTGCAGTGTGATGCGCTGTTCCCCCCAAAGATGAATACAATATCTATCTATCTATCTATCTTAGGAAACCTTGTAATGTTATTCTTCATTACAAAAACAATACAATAATTTAGACTGTAATAATATTAAATTTGGCATCATACGTAAGGGATATTAGACATATAATTTCATCACATACTGTTTGGAATGACACTTTCCCAAAAGTATTGAAGCATCAGTTAAAGCATCATCAGAACATGTTAACATGGGGATTAACTATTTGGATTAAGGCAACTCCCCACTTTTTTTGAAGTTACGTTAGTGATGTTTGTGACGTGTTTTCTGTACTTATGTGACATTATTTCCATTCTACGTAGCTTAGGTACTTTTTTTACAAAAAAACGTAATGTTTTTCCTAAACCTCAGTAGTTTTGTCTGCTAAACATAACCGCTGCTGTTTCACTGTAACCATTGAAAGCTAAAACTGTGTATCATGACACGCAGAATGTTCTGAGGATGACGTGCTGTTTGTACGCCTTCCCATGAGATCAGGTTAAACAAGCAGATGGGATCAAGTGAAAGGTAAAGAATGAAGTTTCATTTCTCTGTACGGTTCTTTCTTTAAAGCTGTCAGACACAAAATCACAGCCTTCCATTGGCAAAAACAAGCACTTTTAGTAGACGTAACATTGCAGGTGAGGAGCTGCCCTGAGTGATGACATTACAGCCCGTTTAGCGGCTGCCGTCTGCAGCATTCTACCTCAATACTGGACCCATGTTTTTAAAGTGTCCCCAAAAGTCACATAGATACAAAAACATGGGACAGTGGGTTCCAAGTTGAAAGTTACCCTTTAAGGATACATTCAGATTGTTAGGTATATATTCATTAGGGTATATTAAGTATCAAGTATTTACACAAAATGTTTGTTTTTTTTTGTCACAATTTTGTTATATATTCTGTTCTGTAAAGTTACAACCCGACATGTTAAAATGACCTCAGTTGTGTCCTCAATGGTATTTATAGCCACTGTGATATTCAAGGCATTAATTCTGATTATCATGAAAATGATAGTTAGAAAATAAATGGAGGCAGGGGATGAGAGAAGTAGAAGCTAAGCTGACAGAGATACAGCTGTTGAATATGTATGAATGTATCTTTACAAAGCACTGTACGTTCAATCTGCCCCGGTGAGCCACGATAAAGCATGTCAGCCAGCAGCCAGTGGCATGTATATATATATATATATATATATACAGTGTGTGCATGTCTCTCGATACGTGTGGACTTTGTAATGTATCCAGGGTATGCCCACGGGACTCAGCACAGCACAGAGGAATATCTTTATTTACATATAGTGTGCTTCCTGTTGTCGTGCATGGAGCTTCTGGGTGTGCAGACACACCAGTGCAAGCACACATACAGCAGCAGAGTCACAATGGTCCACTGCAGAGGGAGAAGCAACACTCAAAACTATGTCGATGTCTTTCTGTATCAATTTAGGCTTTTTAATGTGGTCACCGGGTCCTTTATTTGACTTTAAATTCAGTTTTAATCAAACCACAGGGACCATTAGGTATTGCGTGGTCCAAGCTGGCCAATCAGGTGCATTCACAGCTGTGGATCGTTAACCTTCAATCAGCCTTCTTCAACGGCTCAAAGAGCAAAATCAGCTTTAAAAGTATAGTTTCAAACACATTTTTCTTAACTTTTCCATAACATATGTTTATATGTTGTTTGTGGGCATCTGTTTTACATAACATGTCGTCTTGCCAGTTTCATTTTTTTATATATGTTGTAGAGCAATTTGCAACTATAGTTGTGGAAGTGCTAAAGAAGTGTATAGCAAAAACAAAAGGATTCATTAGTTTAATTCTGAGGGCATGTCAACATTGATGCATTACGGGCAACTGGATAAAAAATATGACATCCCATTAAGTCTAGTCAAAGTAGCTCAGTGTTTTCAGGATTCTGCTGGCTGACTGACACTCATAAAGGTTGGTGGGAGATTAGTAAATCTGCTTTTACTTCATCATTTAATTTGAGTGAAATCCCGTAATCAGAGGATCATGGAGACAGCGGTCATGGCAACCACAGCCTAGTTCTGCCCGAGGTGTCAAACCTTTAATAGGGAGTTTTTCTTGCTTCAGTGCCTGCTGATGGGGGAATGTCGAGTACGGTCAGACCTGCTCTATATCAAAAGTGTCTCGTGATAACTTCTCTTATGATTTTACATTTTCTAAATAGATTGAATTGAATTGTTTCTCTTTGAAGAAGTTCTGGTCTGGTCACATATGGATGTTAGTAGCACATATCGGTCTATTTAATCATCTGAGATTTTGTCATTGCATTCAGAAACTTGGGTCTGTTGCTGATTTATGAGTCAAATAGGAAATAATCAGAATCTAGGAACCCAACAGGGTTGTAGGACAGTTCAGTTGTATTCATTTATTTTTGTCCCAGCACATCCACTCCTACTTTGTTGAGGAACAAGTTGTTTACTGGGAGCAAGTAGAGAATGTCTGTCTTCTTAGTCCTAGTCCCGGAGAGACCTCATGTTTCTGTACTGTCTCTCTACTCCACTCCTGTCTTCAGAACAGGAAGCCCACATATATTTGAGTATAGTCTCGTTCTTCTACAAACAGTTGGACACTGCTCACAAGAGGGTGTCTGCAGATATTAGAGTACATTTGAATACCCTCTTAAGTTTCATTCTGTAGAAATGTAAGATCATTTTTGGTGGCACAAGATGGAGCCTTTCTAGTTTTTAGAAAGTTAGCGTTCTAACTTGAACCAACATGAGGTTAATATACATGTTTTTATGTATTCAGCTTCATAAATGTTAGATTGTCTGCGTCTACTGTGACATCATGGTGTGAATGACTGAGCACCTTTAAACTGACGGAGCAGCAGAAAGAAAGATCAGACAGAAAGAAACGCTTAAGATTCTGTACAAAGAGAGAGAATATAGATATGACAGAATACATTCATCAACATCAGAAAAGAAAGCATCGGGTATAAGTGCAGCTGGCTTTGCAGACGGACCACGTGTGGGTCTGCCGTCACTGGGAATAAGTATTTGGAGTTGCCTGTGGTGAACGGTGCAACCTGAAGCAACATTCAGGGGACTACCACGTCCAAGCAGCGCCAGGACAAAGGACGCAAAAGAGGAATTAACTATACCCAGCTGGGATGACGACACCAGCCTCAACAGGGCTTGTGGAAAGCATCATCTTGAGGATGAAATAGAAGTGGACTGAGGACTGGAACCAGTGCTCTGTGGAGATCATGAAAAGTGAGCTGCTTGTCCCGTGGTGAGTACCAGGACAAGGTATAAAGGAGAGGATGGGGGGTGGAGAGAGAATTCACATTCACAAAGTTCACGTAACTTAGAAAAATGAGCAGTTATTTAGTTTTGCATGTGTTTGTGAGTAAGTCATGTAGTGACTGCTATAGCGAAGAAATGTAGGGTCTATGACAAAACCCTGTATACTGTATGAAGAGAGAGTAAACACCGTCAAAGGTTCAATCAGTGACCAAAGTGACTGACTATATAACTGATGCTCATACTGACATTGTTTATCAAGATGCTTCTTAAGCTAATACATCATCTTACTTTACACACCATTGTTCAATGCTTGATACAAGATGACAACTCATTGGTATCATTTTAGTTTCAAATGAATGAATTGTAATTATCCATGTTGTTAAATTACTCATTAGAATGTTCTGATCAGCTTTACTCTATCGCCAGTAAATGGTAGAAGAGCTTCTTTTACCTCCACATATTCATCTCTGTCTTCATTTAAAATGTTTTATTCTCTTATCTCACTAACATGTTTTCAACAATGCTATCGCTGATTCTTTCCTGATTGATCCTATGAAGATGTAACTAGATGTTACTAAAGCCTCATACTGTATAAATTCATCTTTATTTTTTATTTTTTTACACATGATCAGGCTAATGAGATGAGCTGATGAGCTCAGTGTGGGAGCTGTTGATGTTTTGTCCACACTGTGCGGCTGCATTGTTATATGCACTACAACAAAGGATGTTGAAGAGGATAACGTGTTGGCGCTGGGAGAAGGCCAAAGGACACAAAGTGAATTAGTGAACAACAAATAATTGCTAAGGATTTGGAGGAGAGGTTTGCTGTCAACAGCGCTATCGATTCTCCTCTGACTGAGAACTGAGGAGGAGGAGGAGGGAGGAGTTAAGGAGCGAGAGGCAGAGAAAGAGGTGATGCACCAGGCACAATGACAGGAAACAACTGAAGAAGAGAAGAGATGGGAGTGGGAAGTTAAAGAAGGAGGGGACAAAGATGAGATAGGGGGTGTCTTGCATCCTTACAGAAAGGGAGAGGTACTTTGGAGTGCGTAATGGAGCGAGGAGAAAGACGGTGACAAACGACAGAGGAGGAAACAGGAAAGAGTGGGAAGAGAATTAAAGAGAAGTGAAAGGAGGGATGTAAGAAGGACATAATATATTACATAATACCATAGTTCTGACTGAATCAACATGATATATGAAGTTCAGCTGGCCCCGGGCCAACATCACAGCTGACCACAATCAGAAGGCTTAAACACCAGCAGCTGTTTAATGAATCTAAACTCCTCCCTAAAGTATCTTACTTTAGAAATATCATTAAAAGTCTCTCTCTCTCTCCACTGGTAGAACGCAGCTTTTTGCATTCAGATTGATTCAAAAGATCGTTAGAAGAACACTAAACAACACAAGCAGCTGTTGAACTACTTCAAACCGGACTTGTTTAGAGCAGTAGGCACAAGTGAGCCACTCCGCTCACACATCTGTGGCTGGACTGGAGACGGATCGTCGGGATGCTACTGAACAGAAACGTGACACAGCTGAATCCAGCTGTCAAGTGTTACCACAGGAAGTGTGTCACCTTTCACGAATAAAAGATGAACACGAAAGAAATATGTTTGGCTGTCATCTGACAATGTGTATGGACCGCAGTGTTGGCCTGCTGCAGTTGAACTGTTGTTCATTTAGACAAAGACAGAGATATGTAAAGTAGGTTTTACACACAATCCATTCAACTTGGTTTAATACCAACAGAGGTTTCCTTTTACCAGCAGAGTTACCGCATTATTTCTAAGCAGTCAGCTGTTAGGTATGTGGACAGTGTTTACCATAGGCTGACATTTACAGAATAAAGATATCTGCCGGCTGTGATTGGTTGTTCCTCGTCACATGACATGCAGTGTGTGCGTTGATGTATTCCAAAAGTTTAATGTTTATCTCAGGGCGCAGCCATTACACCCTGACTGGCTTTTGATATTTGGTTGACAGTGAAGTGAAAATCGTCTGTAATATCTTACATCTCATATGTCACAAGCATTAGGATATTTGCTCAGGAAAAAAACATGCAATGCAGCTGTCAACCAGGCTTGCTTTGTTTTCTGTGGAAGCACAAGTAAACAAGGACACAAACTGCTTGTAGCATTTGGCTCACAGACTGCGGTCCAAACTCCCTTTTCTCACTGTGTCTCATTACTGAGATTGCTGTCAACTCTGCTCAGTCCTGTATCCGCCTCAGGGCAACACCAGGAGAAACGAGAGAAACGTTGGAAGATGGAAATAACATAGGGGGGGATACCTGATCCCCCAAAAGCAAAGGAGACAAGACTTTGTGGTAATGATGCCAGCAGAATGTGTTGTACAGGTAGAAACCACAGACCCCGTGCTTCATTATGATCCAGTCTTTGAGTTTACTGGAGCTCTTATATCAGACATGACATGTAGCCAGGTGGAGAAATGCAGCAATTCCCCTCAACAGTGCTGTTACCTTTGGGGTCCCACTTTGAGCACAATGCATTTTGTAGAACAGTGCAGAGGCTATGCATGTATTAGGAGGTATGGATACTGTGCTCTGCAAGATGGGCACTTTCGCTGAAAACATCTTTAGTATTCTGTGATGCTGGGATCTTGGAGCATGAGCTTCAGAGACTTCTGATCACAGATGAATTTCATGAAAGTATTTACTGATAAGGCTCCTCTATCTGTGTTGAGATTACAGAGGAGCCAGTGGGGCCTAGGCTTCCCCACAGACACCGTAGCTCCCCTGAAAGCAACATCATTGTAGATGATGGTTTTGGTTTCATACAGAAAAAGTCTGCAGTGACCTGAAGCACGAGATACAAAGTGTAGCGCTTACTTGTTTATCATTTAACTGAAACCACAATCGACTGAAACCCTAAACTTCACCACATGCAGGACTGATGATATACTGTATATATATATATATATATATATATATATATATATATACACAACGTGTGTGCTCACTCAAAGTCTTACCTCCGTTGTCCTTCACAGTAAAATTTGGAGTGGCTGGAAGCCCAGCAGGCACATAGTAGGAAAACCTTCCATTTGCAAAGTTGTCAAGATCTGCTGCTCGGATGGTCTGAATCACCTGATGGAGAAAAGCAGAGGAGATGTGAAGGAATGAAGAAAGAAGAAGAAGAAGAACAAAGGCTACCAAGAAATGCAGGTAAGAGATGAAGAAAGTGAACAGAAACAATTAGATACTGAGGGAAACAAAGCCGGCAAGATTATAAAGAAACAAAGGCTGAGTACTAAGTACTTGTTTGAATTCGTCAATGTCCTCAGCCTGTCAGTCAGTGACAAATTGTGACCTATTGCGATTCTTACAATCCATAACACAGAATCATACGCGACAACCTTCATTAGCATTCAATGTGTTTAAGTCCCTGCTTTAATGTGGTTAGCTAAATAGCTGTTAATGTTGCTGCCAACTGCAAGAAACATCATCGGTTAAAGTCAATCAATTTTCTTTTCTGCTTAATTATGAATCTCACTGCATTTCTTGGGCAGATCTGCCCTGTGAGCTGAGGCAGAGACCACTGGTTAAAGGTTAGGCATTGACCTCCAGTAGTTAGCGTCAGGATAGCCCATTGGTCAGGATAGCCCATTGGTCAGGATATAGGTCCTGAATAAATCCGGTTACCGGTACCTCAGCGAGCACGGACGCCTGGCCAATCCCACCACTTGAATTCCACTAAATTCAGGTGGAATGGAGTTTTTTTCGCCTGGGCGTTGTTAAGGTGTGACCATGTCATTAGTCAGCTAATTAAAGTCGATAGACTGGCAACCTCTGTGTAGTGTTGAATGGCAAACACTATAGCAGGAGAAACATCAACATTTGGTGACACTTCTTACCAAAACAAATTCAATGTAAGATTTCTTTAATTTTGTGTCATTTATAAGACTCCAAAGCTACAGCTGCATACACATACAGCAGCTCCTATGTGCTATGTTTTTAATGTTGATGATTTGCTGCATATATTCTTTCGGAGCTCCCTAAACAGCTGAGACTTATCAACCAAATCTCACTGTTAGAGAGCGTCTTCAAGGAAACAGCAGCTTGGATTTGTTAACATTAACACTCCACTGGTGTCTCCCACATTTACTGTATATATACAGTACGTCATGTGTCAGGAAACTCAACCCTGCCCACATATTAGATTGTTTTCCTCTCTTTATAACAGCCCTAATGCACAGGTCTTATGACTGCACGGAGAGCTGTGGGAGTCAGGACTGCTTGCTCACTTTACCTGGCATGGCTTTGATGCATACAGTATATTAATATAAAAGGAAAATGGAATAGTAGCATACAGACACAGACCAACCAAAATAGTAAAAACACCCCTACGTGCAAAGTGCCACCATCCATTTTATGCAACGTGTCAAGTCAAGCTATTAACAATCATGATAAAATAGAAAATGAATTCACGGAGCACAGCAGGTGAACAATTTTTTGCATTGACTAATTTAGTTGTGAATTAACAATATTAAATATGAAATGTATGTTTGTGTAATTCTGCTTTTTCAAGTACATAAGCGTGTCAGCGCTAAACAAAAGTCTGGCTTCACTCCTTTACACACCGGGGGTGACTGAGTCTGCTTCTAAATCTGCCTTCTACCTTGGCTGTCATGCTATGTCGGGGGTGGGAGGTGTTTTCCATGATGGCCAGCAGTTTTACCAGCATCCTGCCCTCTGCCAGCTCCCCCAGGGTGTCCAGCTTGGAGCCAAGGAGAGACCCAGCCTTCTGTTTGACTTTATTCAGTCTGCCTCAGCACACCACAGAAGACGGTACTCGCAGCGGCCCTTCTTGTAGATGGCCTCGGTGTTGGTGGATCATTCTAGTTTGTCTAGAGTTGGACGCCCAGGTACTTGAATGATGTGACAATCTCCACGTTTCGCCCTCTGATGCGGACTGCAGATGATGGGGCCTTCCTCTTCCCAGAATCCACCACAATCTCCTTTCGTTTTGACCACAGTCAACTCCAAGTGGTTCTGTTGCTTTGTTAGTTCTGTGTCTTTTTCGTTGGTTTACACTACGATTGAGTTTGAGCTGGGATTTTGTCAGTGTTCCATTGACAAGTTGGAGGGGAGTACTATGGAAATCTTGAACTCATTGCAGAAAAGTTTGACATTTCTATCAGTAGGCTAGGCAAGGAACGGGGCTCAAAGATCAGCTGTGGTCTGCCTTAGTAGAGCATGGATTGTTGTCAGCTGGTGTGGGCGTGGCTACATCTCCTTAATCTGAAGAGGCAGGTTTTGCCGAACAGTTGAAAAAGCTTTAGCTGTAGATCTAAAAGAGGGTTAAAGCTTTGGGAGATTTTAATTCCTTGGTGCTTATGGAAGAGTTTAAAAACTGTACCTGAGAGAGCTGCAAGCTGTTAAGATGTCTGACGCTGCAGTTCTTGCAGATGAATATGTACTCACTCATAAGCCTGTGCTTGGTGAAGAAGAATCTCTCTAAAAAAACAATACAACAGTACATCACTCGAAAATTGATTTCTGTACTTAGACGTGAAATATGTCTCAGTACAGAAGATAAAGACTCTGGAACTTTCAAATCACTGTGACTTTAAGTGTCCATGATGACTCCATGTCATACTCTATTCAGATATACAATTCATTTGAGTAACCTTCAGCAATATCCACCATTAAATCCATTCTACTCTCCGAAAATTTGATACAAACACAATTACCCTCTATGAAATTCAAGTCTGCTGGCACAGTGGAACACTGCCATGCAAGACCACTGCAGTAAGAAGTGTCTTGCACGACAGTGAGAGCTGATGCCATATGGTGGACAGCTAGGAGAGACATGTCCATATCTTCTTCTCTGAATAACACAGATGAACAAAGACCCATTAACATCTGCTTTCACAGTCACAGCTCAATGACAAGTAATAAAGACGTCACCATGAATATGAATGTGTTTCCATAAATCTATACCTGACAAATATCTATATGTAATCTTTGACAGTCAGAATACAGTGTACATGTTTCTAGCATGCAAAAAGCAAGTGCTGCCGTGTATTCTGAGCCCTCTGGGTCCTATCTGCCACTCATCTCCATGCATTCATCACAGCCAACGAGGAGTGAGTATCACACCTATTGTATTCCCCCGAAATCTTACCAGCCAGTCTCATGGTTTTGAAATCAATATTGCAAATGTGGTTCACAACTGAGTTCCCAAATGTAGCAGAATAAATTGTCGTGCCGGATGGACGTGCCATGCATGAACATTTCTTGGTAACAATTTATTGCAATGCCAGGAAGATGAAGAAAAATAGAATCCTCCTTCGACATTAACTGTGCTAGCATGTGTTGTCTGTTGCCTGAAGCCAATCTAAATGATTACCCAGTAATTTGTGTACACTCACACACTTAAATTTGCATAAAAAACAGAGAAAGTGGTCGGCAGATAATAAGGGAGAGTAATACCTATAATACGACAGAGGGAGTGTGTGTGATGTGTGATCTCTGTGAGTGAATGTGGGGTGTGGGGACAGTCATTGGCTGTGATGCAGATCTGTGTGCTGGCCCTGCTGTCTAGCACAGAGGCTTGCAGTGAATTTAATATGATTGTCTCTGCTGCTATCTGGACCCGGCAGCGGAAACATCAGCACGCTCCGCACTCTGAATAATTTATGGGTTCAAGAAGCTGCAAAGTCGACAGCTCAGCTGATAAATCCTCCACTGATCTTGTCAGACACACAACAAAAAAGGCGACAGATCAACATGAATGGATGTGCATGCCAGCCTTTGCATGTGAGAGAGAGAGAGAGAGAGAGAGAGAGAGAGAGAGAGACTGTGCATTCATCCATGTGTTCAGTGGTGTATATAGTTGTGTTTGTGTTTGAGAGCTGAACAGGAGTTTATTTTCACATTTTAAGAATAATTGGCATCTGCTTTGGCCATTAAGTTTGGATTTTTCCACGATATGCAACAACTGTGTCAGACCTTAAAGTTGGCAGCATGTCTCTGAAGCTGACTTTAAATATAATCTTAAAAGATGCATTCAGTCATGCAGCTTGTAATTTTGTACAATTAGAGGGTAAGTTTGCCGTTATTCCATATTCTATTTATTGTCAACAAATGCCAACAAATGACCCAAACCGACAATGTGTCAGACAATCTCTGACCTCCCTTCTCTGACCCTCCCTCTTGCCCCATTCCCACTTCCTTAAACCCTTCACTCGTCCACCTGTCCCAGTGCGGTAGAAATTCATTCGACATGAATGACTGTGATTAGTACCTGGGTAGGTAACCTCAGATTCTTACACACGTGAAGACCTTGCAGATGACAGGCAGATCATATTCTGGCAACCCCAACGCTGGTGCTGATGAGAGCAGCCCTCAAGAATACAGATGCCATGTTTTCAGTTCATTTGAACATTTTCAGGTGCAGTGTAGCCATAAATCAGGTGGCTGCAGTGCCCAAGAAGCTTCACGTCCATGTCCCAACATGTCACCATAGTAGAGGACCGTGGGCTGACAGAATTGCAGCTTGGCAAGAGATGCTCTGTGACCTCTTTCAGCCCAACATTCCAAGAGGAGAATGGAGTCTGTGCCTCCTCAGAAGCAACGTGTCAAGACGCTCTTTCTTTACCTCTGCCATATATAGTACAACTCATACTGACTATCTGGATGCAATGGAATTAGCTTCAGTCAAGATTGAGTTGAGAAAAATGAGCAATCCCATTTCAAGCTTAAGATCCTGAATAAAGCACCATTGTCTACCTCTGTTGGCTGTAGGGATAGAGAGAATAGGTGTATCATAGAGAGAATAGGTGTATCATAGAGAGAATAGGTGTATCATAGAGAGAATAGGTGTATCATAGAGAGAATAAGTGTATCAAAAGTAGGCACTAATACACCTTGTTCGTGAAGACAATGGTACAAATATGAAAATGGCTCTACAACTGCAAGTCCCTGTAGTTTTTAAGAAACATTCTGGCTGTTGATTTAACAGATCAGAGATTCTATCCTTTCAGCAATGGAAGAAGTATTCACATCCGTAATTAATGCGTATGTTGCATTTTAACTCTTTTATATACTGTTAGCTAATTTAATCCAGAGCAATACATCGTATTCCTGCTGTCCTGGGAGAACCACGTATCTGTGACAATCTCTGGTTTTAGTTTCTGTCAGTTCTTTGCCTCATGTGTCCCATGTACACCATTAACTAGTGTTAGCACATCTATGCTAGTTACTGAAGGTATACTGAATGTATTTTAATGACTTTAACAGTGAATAAACACCTACTGGGCTTTACAGGAACAGTGATGTGATGGTTCATCTTTACACTGTGATCTGTGTAGCTCACTGGATATTTCCTTAAAAATAATATTTTAGGCCCTTCTGTCTGTTTTTCTCTGAAATTTAATTAAATTAAAAAAATGTGATAGTTATTCAGATAGTGCAGTTAGTGACAGTGTGGCTCCATGGTAGCTCTGACCGATTGACAGCGTAGCAGTGGGAAACGGGGCTTAGCCAAAGCTCAATTGGTACAAAAGATTGAGCAGTTTCACTCAACTTTGGACATTTTGAATAATATGTTTAACATATAATAAATATATTAACTAATAACTACACAAATAACTAATTAACCAATGAAAATGAAGAAACGCAATGTTGAGTAAATTAATCTGTTTGCTCAGCGGGATCGCTCAGCCCCACTCCAGATGGGCCCAAAATTCAGCTGGGCCTGCCTGCAAACCCCAAACCCACAGACTTGTACTTTAGTTCTCCTAGGCTAGAGCATAAGCAACCAACCTGTCCATTTTTGGTGCTCTCACACACTATAACAGCACTGTTGCTCCCAGAGATGGCTGGAATGTTGTCATTGACGTCCAGGACCTGGATGGTGACTGGAACGTGACTCACCATACGAGGGTTATCTGAAAATGTACACAAGAAACAGGTTTAAATTGCTACAGTATCTTGGTATTTCCAAAGAAAAGACAGATTATTTGTTTTTCCAACTGACAGAGTAGCACCATTGGTTTTATATTTGGCCTGTCCATAAGAAATATACTGTGCTGAACAAGTAGAGTTCAAACCGGTTCGTTATTTTTTTATTTACTGGTTTGTTCTTCAGCAAGTTGCAGAACACATACTGCAAGTGTGCAACATCTAACTATAAAGCAAGGAATCTGTGTCTGTGAACTTCACACGGTGTTTAGCTGGGGACCAAAGGGAGTGCAGTGTCAGATTTAGTGCAATTTTGACATGCGGCGCGTTCAATATTAATAAACTTTGAATAAACCAGCACACAGCGCTCTGTGTAACAGCGGGGGCGGAGCTTCAGGGCTCTGAATTCCAGCACGTCTCTCATCGACTGCAGTTCACTGCTGCTGGATGTTGGATTTAGCCTGCTAACGCTACATGCATGCTGGGTAGCAACCAAACTTTTATCCTCTTCCCTGGAGTCAACGAGAAAGAGCAGGTAGCCTTCAGGAACATCATCACTCTGCTGTTGCACCTCACACTTAGTACGTTCGCCATACTAATTTATAACACTAACAACGTTGCTGCCGGAAAAATAACTCCACCCGGGTTCGCCGCCTGTTCCTGTGAGTCGCTCAGCTGTCTTTGGAATATTAAGTAGGATTTTACCTGCAGACAGTTCACACCATGGTTTCACTAAAGCAGTGGTTCTCAAACTGTGGGGCGCGCCCCTCTAGTGGGGCGCAGTGGTATTACAGGTGGGGCGCAGGGGGAAATGCAGAATCTTTTTAATTTTTTTAATTTAATTTAAGTAATTAATAAATACATGGCGAAATGCCTGTACTTTCATGTAAATGTTTACGTTACGCCGTTAACAGGTTACGCTTGCGCATGCGCAACGGCCATGATCCTTGGCGACTCACATGTGTGCCTTAGTGTTCCAAATGTAGAGACATTTGGCATGCGGGAACAGAAAAGCAACCGCAAGCGACGCATCCGAGACGAACAGCAAGCAGCCAAGAAGAAAATGTGATGACGCCTATCTTGCTCTGGGTTTCACAGTGAACGCGGTAGGAGATGAGAGACCAGTCTGTGCTTTATGTCTGAAAACTCTAGCTGCGGATAGTATGAAACTTGTTTTGTTTAGTTTTTCACAGGTTGCACTTTATTGTTATCTTGAAAAGATGTTTAGTGCAAAACAGGTTAATTGCAGCCAATTGCAATAAGCTATTTTTTGCCAAATTGTAGTTCTTTTTTGCACAGATATAACTTTATTTGCATTGTTCGAACAAAGTGATTGCACATTTTATTTGTTTTTGTCTGATGGAGCAATCTGGTTTACTTAAAAGTGATTGCAATTTTCTTTATTCTATTATTTGAAAAAGCACAGACGGAGGAGTCACAAAATGTTATTTCAATAAAAATTAAACATAGACCATTTTGTAACAATTTTGTTTGGGCGGTGGGGCATGAACATTTTTCTTCTTCCAAAGTGGGGCGCGACAGAAAAAGTTTGAGAACCACTGCTTTAAAGGATGCAAAGCGAGGGGCGGACCGTTTTAAAATCCCCCCAACAGCTCTCACATCTCCCATAACGATGCAGCAAGGTTCTGGCAGGCGCTTTTTAAAACACATATCGGGAATCTAAACAAGTACTTTCTCACATAAAAATGTATTAAAACTAAATAATGCTTTTATTAACATTACTCACAACCTTTCTGTGAAGTAATACTGTTAACTATTAGTAACCTGAATGATAATGTTGCTATGTGTCTTTTACTAAATTTACTAAAAAAAATAGATAACAACAAACACCATTTAAATGCAACCAAGATATGCATACATATATATCTTGGTTTCAGGTTGTTTGTCATGTCCACCTTTACTTTCGGAGCAGAAAATCCCACGCCAAATATAATTGTATTGCTGTGTGATTTATAGTAAAAGGTCAATAAATGAAAAAGTATAAATCAATAACTGTCCTTTCTCACCATCCAGATCTCATCTGTTAATTCTCCCTCCCTTTTTCCTTGTGCTATTGCATCTAATATTTCTCAATGCAGGCAGTGTGGGGGTCTGTAGCTTTCATTTGTCTGTTCATTCATCTGTCACATTCCATGTCTCACACACCACTGATCACAGCTTGATGGCACAGTGGAGTTGACCACAACACTGCCATGACAAGGACTTTATTATCAAATGATGTGGATATTTTATACACTTTAGTTTAGCCTAATAGAATTCTGCATGTAACCTCTGGAGGGTGTAGGTATTAATGTTCAATTTTTGAAAAAAAAGATGCACTGTTTGGCAAGTCTGATGCCAGAAGCGAAATAAAAGAGCTGCTGTAGACCAATGTATTCTCAGTGGATTAGGATTAGATTTTGTTCCTTGATCACGATGGCCAGATGTAGCTGTATAGGGACACTGGGGCAAAGACAAAATGCTGATGGCTCCAAAAATAAATAAATAAATAAATGCACTTGAGGATAAAGATATGAAAATATTTCCGGTTTAGATTTTCCGGTGGCGCTGCTCTACTTGCGACGTGGGTTTGCGATCTACTATATTTGTTTGTTTGTGTCTGATAGCCTATTGTCTGACTACAGTACGTCCTCGTACTTTTACTTTTGTGTAAGCGTGCTAAATTCACATGGCAACGATTACGCAATACGTCTGTCTGGCACTGATCATATGGGGACTTTGTACGCTGTGCCAAACATCACCTGCCGGCATGGAGGCTCAGCTGCCCATCACCTATACCAGAGACGCAGTCCTAGCGCTTCGCTCTGCCAGATCGATTTCCATGGACCTGGCGGGCGCGGAGTAGGACCGCGTGGAGTACGACGGTGAAATAGGCAATGGTACTGTGTAATGCGAGATCACTGCGAGGCAAAATAGAGAAACTTCAAAACAATAAACCATTTCAAACTAAAGAACTAAAGGAATGCATTAATAGGAAAAAGGTAGCTAACTGGAACTGAATTTGGCATTTTAAATAAAACCTGAACAAAAAAAGAAAACACTTTGGAAAAGTTGAATAAAAGTACTGAAAGAAGTTCCATTGAAAAATAAAATTGAGGCATTAAATAACCAGCGCCTCTGATAAAGAATGAATGTAACACACTTTGATATGTTTTGCGTTCTTATGTGTTTTTTCTTCACGTCAGTCTTTTTTAATTGTTGTTTTTAAGTTAATTCATATTTTTTATTATTTAAATAACTGTTACTTTGTGAAAGGGAAGACATTTATTGTACAGACCCTTTAGAAGAGAGCACTGTTGCTTTAAGAAACATGTGCTTGTGCTTAACTGTGGGATTTGTTAATACAATTTGCAAAACGAAGATGGACTTGTTTTTGGACAGTTCATTTTCAGGTTGCAACATTGAGGGAGCATTTCTCTGCTGTTATAAACAGGCTACGTTCGACCCTTCACACAATAAGAACTAAAGCGTAGAGTTCTTGGATGAACTTGGTTAGACGTCCAATCTGTAGTCCTGGCGTCTTTTTTCATACTCTATCCTGTCCTTATCTCTCTCATCTTTTCCCTCCCCGTCATCTCTCCTCGTCTAAATCTCTCTTGCTGTGCTGTGCTCCTCTCAGCTCATCCCATCAGAGAAGGCTTATAGAGTGTATCAGGAGAGGCATTTCTGATCAGACCTAAGGGTAATGGGCAGGGCTGAAGGTCAGATACTCTATCAGAAAAAGTCACTCTTCTCTCTGCTTCTTTCACTTTTTATCCAGTCTCACCTGCAGACAGAATGAAGTTGAAGTTTGCTCTTAAACCTCTGTGCTATAAAACTCTGTAAAGCACATCCAGAACTCTGTGATGACATTAATAATGAGAGAGAGAGACAAGGAGACCTGCAGGTGCACACACACACACACACACACACACACACACACACACACACACACAC